CGGAGGAGGAGGAGGAGGAAGAGGAGGAGGAGGAGGAGGAAGAGGAGGAGGAGGAGGAGGAGGCGGAGGAGGAGGAGGAGGAGGCCGAAAATTGCTGAACGCTCTCCGTCGAGAAGCTGCGCACGACGCGAGGACGTCAGGCATCGAGGAGGCTGTGGACACCGACCTGGGGCCCAGGACTAGCCTGGCCGTAGCGGTGCGGGCGGAGATTCCCCCCGCACAGCCATCCGCCGCCAGCCGCCGCCGTTGTGTCGTTGTCGTCGTCGTCGTCGTCGTCGTCGTCGTCGTCGTCGTCGTCGTCGTCGTCGTCCTCGTCCTCGTCCTCGTCCTCGTCCTCGTCCTCGTCCTCGTCCTCGTCCTCGTCCTCGTCCTCGTCCTCGTCCTCGTCGTCCTCTTGGAATATAGCTGGAGGCCCTGGGGGCGCTCAGGGAAGCTCAGGGGAGGCGCCAGGAGCCCTCCAGGAGCCGGGGGAGGAGGAGGAGGAGGAGGAGGAAGAGGAGGACCAGTGGAACCCCAAGAGTCATCAACGATGTTGGAATTAACCCTCCCTGCAAGCGCCCTTTCATAGGCCCTACAACGGTTCAGTCCCATTGAGGAGAACTGCCTCGTTGGAAGACCAGAGTTTGAAGATCCTGAAGCGTGCCAAAACATTGTTCTCTGGAGTTCAACGCCACGTATCAACGTGCCTGCTGCGTCTTGACGGTCCAGAACCGTGCCAGAACAACATGTTGGGGACTTCAACAAAGCGAATCAACATAACTGTTGCGCCCACATAACCCTGAACCCTTCCAAAACACCATGTCTGATACGTTGACCATGGGAATCCGTGAAACTCTTGCCTTTTTTGGGAAGAAGCCCAAAAAAAAGCGGCGCTAAGGCGCGAGCCACATGTTGAAAAAGAACAGTCCTCAATGCGTGAAACTCTGGCATTTTTTTGAAACGATTGTGCGCGGCGCTAAGGCGAGAGCCACATTTTGAAAACCACCCGCCCTGAATCCGCGAAACCCTTGCAAATTGTTAAAACGAATGTGCGCGGCGCTAAAGCGAGAGCCACATTTTGAAAACCACCCGCCCTCCATTCGTGAAACTCTTGCAAATGGATAAAACGAATGCGCGCGGCGCTAAGGCGAGAGCCACATTCTGAAAACGACCCACCCTCAATCCGTGAAACTCTTGCAAATTTCTAAAACGAAAGTGCGCGGCGCTAAGGCGAGAGCCACATTCTGAAAACGACCCACCCTCAATCCGTGAAACTCTTGCGAAGTTATGAAATGAATGTGCGCGGCGCTAAGGCGAGAGCCACATTTTGAAAACCACCCGCCCTCCATCTGTGAAACTGTTGCCACTTTTCAAGCTTCAGAATCACAGATAATGGGGAAGTCTCAGGCGAAACGCCCGGCCCGCCCTAAAAACTGGCCTCGGGGTGCGACAGGGAGAAGCTATCTATGAGGAGAAAGAATGAGGAGGCGGAGGAGAAGGAAGAGGAGGAGGAAGAGGAGGACAATGAGGAGGAGGGGGAAGAGGAAGAGGAGGAAGAGGAGGAGGCGCAGGAGGAGAAGGAGGAGGAGGAGGAGGCAGAGGAGGAGGAGGAGGAGGAGGAGGAAAAAGGAGGAGGAGGGGGAGGAGGAGGAGGGAGAGGAGAATGAGGGATCGCAGCAAGAAAGGGAGCAGCAGGAACAGGAGCAGGAGCGAGGAACGCCCTGAGCCGAAACTGAGGCTGCAAAGGCGTCCTAGATGGGGTCTGAGCAAAGGGGGCTGCAGGAATGAACCGCATCGCCGAAGCATCGGCGATGCATCGACGATGTATCGGCGACGCCAGCATGGCGAAAATTGGGCTCACAGCGAGCCGCATTGTCGATGCATCGGCGGTGCGGCGCGTTCCTCCGACCCAATCTACTCGGACCTCTCTGGGAGGCGCTTGGTTTGTCGCGTGGCGCCCCGCTCCGCGGGGACGGAGGCTCGGGAAGGCTCCTGACGTGGACGCCTGGGGGCTCGGAAGTGCATGACGTATGGCGCGAAAGCGAGCCAGAACCGGCGGAGCGACACGCCATGCAAAACTTCCCGACCTTATCTTGGAGCGCCCCTGCTTCACGCCAGGCTCGAATCGTGACGACCCCAGCGCTGGCTCCTGACACCGTGCGGGTCGTTCAGCCTCGAGAACGAGAGGTGGCTCTTCGATCGCCAAGTCGTTCCATACTGGCCGACTCTAGGCACATGGCAGCGTTCCACCTCGATCGCACGCGGCGGGGTCACTGCCGCGCAGGCACGACATGAACCCACGTGCCACTACCGCATCCACGTCGTGCTTTTTCCCAACGTGGTCTCCGAAAGGTCTGGACTCCGATTCGGCGTCCTGGGGATCAACGTTTCATCACGAATAGTGCTTGAACCGTCACTTGGCCGATGAAACGGCGTCCAGACCCTGAGGTCCGACGTCGCCGACAGAACTGCAACAGCGCGGAAAATGCATGACCGAGGCCCCAGACCCCATCGTTCTGCTGCGTCTCCCGAGCCAGATCGATCTGTGATGGCCCTGGGCCCCGAAACGAACCAGGGGATAACGCGCGGTGCGAAAAGAACTCGCCACGCCATGGTCCCAGCCATGCGACGTCCAAATTTTGCTCATACGCAGTCCCCAGGAACCCCGCACCCGAACCGGCTTGGACCGTCTTGGAACCCTCTTCAGGGCGTCGGGCGGTGTTGGAACCGTCTTCAGCGCGTCTTGGGCCGTCTCGGAGCCATCGTGCGGGAAGCCGCTTTGGGCCCTGTTCGGGCCTGTGTAGTCGCCTCTTGGGGGCCTCTCGGGGGCCTCTGTGGGGCCTCTTGGGGCCTCCTGGGGGCCTATTGGGGCGGAGAGCTAGATTCTTCGGTTCGTGTTCCCTTTCTGGCCTCCTTGGGGCCATTGTGAGCCGTCTTGTGCGGCTCTTGGGCCGTCCTGAGGCCCTGTTGGGCCGTCTTGGGGCTCTCTTAGGGGCCTTTTGGGCCGTCGTGGAACGTCGGCGAGAAAGCCAAAAACATTGAAAAGAAAATCATCGAATTTGGGCTCTCGGGGCTCTCGTCGCCCGTGCATGTATGCTTCGTACGCGTTCTATACATGCTGCATTTCTGTACGCAGTTGCGTTTGCGCGAATGAATTTGTATACGTATGCATGAAAGCGTGCACGAATGCAAGCGCATGCTACTGGCCTTCGGCCCCTCCCGCCACCCTGCCTGGGCGCTGGGTCAGAGGCCTCTTGAGTGTTCGTTGGGATCTCGTGGCAGGCCTCTCGGGGGCCTCTTGGAAGCAGTTTTGAAGCCTCTTGGGGGCGGTTTGGGGGCCTCTTGGGGCCTCTTTTGGGCCTCTTGGGGGCCTCTTGGGGGCTTCTCGGGGGCCTCCTGGGGGCCTCTTGGGCCTCCTAGGGGCATCTTGGGGCGGAGAGCTTGATTTTTCGGTTCGTGTTCCCTCTCTGGAGCCCCTCTTGGGGCATTCTTGGGGCCCTCTTGGGCAGTCTTGGGCGGCTCTGGGGCCGTCTTGGGGCTCTCTTGGGCCGTCTTTGGGCCCTCTTGGGGGGCCTTGGGCCGTCTTCGAGCGGCCTTGTGAGCCTCTTGGGCGGTCGTTTAGCGTCGGAAAGCCGAGTCAGTAAGGAGGCAAAAAGAATTAACACCACAATCAAACGTTTTGGGGGTCTCCAGGGAGTTTCTTGGGCGCCTCTGGGGGCATCGTGGGAGACTCTTGGGAGCACCTTGGGGGTCCTCTTGGGGCGGGGGGCTCGCAATTCCAATTGGATTGCCACATCTTGGGCTCCTCTAGGGACCCTCTGGGAGGCCGTTGGGGCCGTCTTGGATGCCTCTGGGACAGCCTGGGACCTCCTTGGGCCGTCTTGGCGCCCTCTGGGGGGCCTCTTGGGCCGTGCAGGGGCGATCTTGGGGGCCCCTGAGGTCATCGAGGATGGTACGAAGACGAAAGACACGACTACGGTAAAAATGTACGTTTTACGAAGGGAATGGGGCTATGTTTGCCTCTCGGGCCCCTCGTGATGGGGGAGGGGGGGAGGAGGAGGGGGAGGGGAGGGGGGGGGGGGGGGGGGGGGGGGGAAGAGCGGGGGGGGGGGGGAGGAAGAGGAGGGGAAGAAGGGGGAGGGGGGGGGAGGGGGGGGAGGGGGGGCCAATTGCACGGATTAAGAAGCGCCTTGGAAGCCTCTGGGGCCGTTAGAGACGTCCCGTGATCCGTCGAAGCCGTCTTCAGGGTGGTGGGCGGCTGGCTGGGGCCGCCGTGACGCTCATCGGACCGCCCTCCGAGGCGATTTTGGGCCCCCCAGGGTCCAGCCGGGCCCCCGGGCCACACATCTGTGGTAGAGGTCGTGGCCCCGGGGCCCCCGAGCCCGGTCCCCTGTTAAATGTGTATGCCAGCATAAGTTCCCAGACTATGTGTTGACTAGTGCTGAATGTTCCTCCTGTAGAGGGACACGCCCGACTTAAAACTGTTCTCGCGCCTCGTGCCCCGCGATGCGCGACTCGTTGATATCTTCGCGCCCTCGCGCCGCCGCCTGGGGAAGGCCAGCTCCGCGCGAGGCGCGATCGCCTTCGCGCACCCCGGGGGGGGCACGAGTTTTGCCGACACCGGTCCCCCAGAAGTCGACGAGCGCATTCCACGACTCGCAAAGTAACGACTCGCCAGTGGCCTGGATCCGCCGCGGGGGCATCTACGCTAAATCTCGTCGGAGCAAACATATGTCTTTCAGACGTTTGCGAATAGGCACTTTGCGAGCAGTGGAACGAGCTTGGTGAAGAAGTCTCGACCCTTTCCCCGGGGCCGCTCTTGCCCCTGAGTCGTCTTCTGACGGCGCCGGGACCCGGCGGGGACCCAGGAGGTGAACACGGCGAAAGCAGGTAATCACGGACCTGGATGGGCTTGCCGCCCACTCGGGTCCGTGGGCCGTGGGAAAAGTCAGAGCGGGCATCTCGGTTCCGTCCTCGCGTGCCGGGGTAAGGATCTTTCTTGCTCGGAAGGTGCCGAAGGGTGATGACGCCCTGGGCTCCGGTAGGGCTTTTGATTTTCTTGTCGTACGACGTCGTGGTTTCTGCCATGTGGTACACCGAGGGTGCCAGAGGCCGCGGAGGCCCAGCTTCTACCGGGCCTGCTGGGGATCTCACTGGAACCTCCCCGCGGGCACTTCAATGCTATACTGGCGCGGAGGCGGGGGCTGCCGTATGCAGCCTGGTGGCACTGATCGTTTCGCTGTCTGTGAGATGAAGTAGGCGCGCCCGATCTCGTTCTACACACTGTGTTCTGAGCTATGCCCGTCGCTGGCGGCGCAGGCTGGCGCGGCGAGCCCGAAGGCACTGGCGACAGTCTCCTCCGCCGCCACGTCGCTCAATAGCCGGCCATCTGGCAGGACAGCATCCACCCGTGTGACTCCGGGGCCAAACCTGCCTGCGCGGCAACCGCTCATCAACTGGTCGCGCACGCCTGCGATGCAAGAAGAGTGCGCGGCGGCGACCCGGTAGCGCTCCACCCCGCCAAGAGCCACAAAACGTATCGAATCGCCGTCGAGCCACGCCTGCAGAAGCAGCGCTCGCATGTCAAGAGCTGCGTAAGTTTGGCCTGCGGCGAGGTCTGGAATGTTACACTGGCCGTCCCGGTTGTTGCCGCCGGCCACGGCCGTGCCCCCGCTCGTCAGCAGAACTGTGTGGAGGTGTCCAGTGGCGACCTGCGTGTAGATCTGGCCTGCGACGAGTTCAGGAATGTCACACTGGCCATCCCCGTTCCAGCCGCAGGCCACGGCCGTGCCCTCGCTCGTCAGCAGGACTGTCTGATCTCGTCCAGCGGCGACCTGCGTGTAGGTCTGGCCTGCGACGAGGTTCGGAATGTCACTCTGGCCGTACCCGTTGTAGCCACAGGCCACGGCCGCACCCTCGTTCGTCAGCAGGACTGTGTGACCTCCTCCAGCGGCGACCTGCGTGTAGGTCTGGCCTCCGACGAGGTCCGGAATGTCACACCGGCCCTCCCCGTTGAAGCCGCAGGCCACGGCCGTGCCCTCGCTCGTCAGCAGAACTGTGTGGAGGTATCCAACGGCGACCTGCGTGTAGGTCTGGCCTGCGACGAGGTCCGGAATGTTACACTGGCCGTACCCGTTGAAGCCGCAGGCCACGGCCGTGCCCTCACTCGTCAGCAAAACTGTCTGATCTCGTCCAGCGGCAACCTGCGTGTAGGTCTGGCCTGCGACGAGGTCAGGAATGTTACACTGGCCGTACCCGTTGTCGCCGCAGGCCACGTCCGTGCCCCCGCTCGTCAGCAGGACTGTGTGATCTTGTCCAGCGGAGACCTGCGTGTAGATCTGGCCTGCGACGAGTTCAGGAATGTCACACTGGCCATCCCCGTTCCAGCCGCAGGCCACGGCCGTGCCCTCGCTCGTCAGCAGGACTGTGTGATCTTGTCCAGCGGCGGCAGCCATCGGCCCGTGTCAGGCGGGCGGGGCTCTGGCGAGGAGGCTCGAAGACGGCGCGGATCCAGCGCGGGCTCGGCCTGAGCCAGCGCCAGCTACGGGAGTGCGCAGGGGCACGCGCGCGCAGCAGCGAGGGGTGGGGGAGGGGTGAATGAGGCAAAGGGGGAGGGGCAGGGAGGAGGGGGGAACGGAGAACGATTGGGGGACAGGGGTGGGCCCCAGAGCTCGTACAGCCCGTAGGGCCCCCACGGTTCCCGTCGCTCACAGGGCTCGTAGGACTCCCAGGGCCCGTAGAGCCAAGGGCTCGAGCGTCACATGGCCAATGCCCCCATGGGCCCTCAGGGCCCAAGAATTCTCAGGACCCGTAAGGCTCGTAGGACCCACAAGACCCGTAGGGCCTGGGTGGCTCATAGAGCTGCTGGGGCCCGTCAGGCCCATGCGGCTCGTGGAGCCCGCGGAGACCAGAAGGCTCGCAGGGCCCAACAGGTTCGCAGGGTCCGTGGGCCCGCAGGGCTCAGAAGGCCGTTTGGCTCGGAGGGCTTCTGAGGACCTGTGGGCTCGTGACGCTCGGAGGGCCCTTGAGGTCCACCAGACTCAAAGGCCCCACCAGGCGCCTACGGTCCACAGGGCCCAGAAGGCTCACCGCGCTCATGGGGCCCGCAAGGCTCGCTGGACCCACGTGGCGTACAGGGCCCCGGAGCCCGTGAGGCTCCCAAGGCTCGCGGGGCCCATCGGGCTTACGGGGTCCGTGGGGCCCGTAGGGCCGCAGAGCCCGCGGGGCTCCCAAGAGCCCGCTGGGCCATAAGGACCCACGTGGACCCATAGGGCCCGCAGTGCCCGCAGAGCCCACACGGCTCCGGAGACTGATCGGGCCCGTGCCCAGGCTCCTGGGCACCCTCAGGGCCCGTAAGGCTCCTGGGGCCCGTAGAGCGGCACATAGGGCTCGTCGGGCTCAGAAAGCTCACGAGGCCCGCAGTGCCCGTAGAGACCGACGGACTCGTGCCTGAACCGCAGTGTGCAGCACATAGCTTGCACCACGTAGCTTGCGCAACGTAGCTTCTACCACATAGCTTGCACAACCCAGCTTCCACCGCGCATGTTGAACAAAGTGGTTTGCACAACATTGCTTGTTCCAGGTAGCTTACACCACATTGCCACATGCATTACACCAACTAGCTTGCATAGCATGATTTGCCCCCACACACCTTACACTACATACAAAGGACCACAATGATTGCACCACACACGCTGCGCCACTTAGCCTACACCACGTATGCTGTACAACATAGGCTGCACATCGAAATGCAAGGACGGACTGCTTGGGGCAACGTTGGCAAACACGACATCCGCATGAACAAAACGATGGCGATAATAAATGTATCTAGACACAATCGGCCATCAACACGACATGGTAAGTCAACAGCTGAAAAATTGTAACAAAATATATGAGAGACGGCGGGATGTAGATGATGCACACGCACACGTACACGCCAGGCGCGCTGTTGGGCTTTCCCGAAGGCTCGAGTACCCAAGAACTCCCGTGAAAGTTTCCCGCAGGGGATCCCGCAGTGCATGCGCTAGGGCTACGAAGCCTCACCCATAGAGCTCCCTGTAAAGCTTCGCACGCGGCTCCCCAAGAGACTCCGAAACCTCGTCCGCACGGCGCCCCGCAGGGCTCCCCCGAAAGCTCCCCCACAGGGCTTCCCGGCAAGGCTCCCCACAAAATATCCCACGGGGCTCCGCAGCTTCGTCCGCAAGGCCCCAAAACTTTGTCCATGAGGCCGAAATCGGGGATCTTCTGACCCGGGTCAATCCAGACCCGGGTCAGTCAGGCCTTTCAAAGTCCTGCAAGGTTCTGCGAGAGCCTGCACCCAGACCCGGGTCAGTGCGAAGGATCATGCAGGATCCTGCACCCAAGCCCGGGTCAATGCGACCCTGGCCCTGCAGAATCCTGTAAGATCGGGCGCTCTGGCTGACCCCAGTTTGCATTGGCCCCCGTCTCCCCCTCCTCCTCCTCCTCCTCCTCCTCCTCCTCCTTTCCGCCTCCTCCTTCTCCTCCTCCTCCTCCTCCCCCTCCTCCTCCCCCTCCTCTATGAGGCCCGAGTCCGCATGCCCCCGAGCCGAGCCGCCCTGGACGGGATCGGTGCTCGTGCACAGGGAGGCCCTCCACGGGGCGCCCCGTGGGCTCCCCAGGATGTTCCCCACGACTGCCGCAGGGCGACCAGCCTTAAGGCTCCGATGCATCATGCGCAGGGCGCCCCGCAGGGCACCCCGCGAGCACCTCCAGGAAGAAGCCCAGAAGCGGGGGAGCAAAGCAGGCAGCAAGGGCACGCCACCGTGGGGGGACCCCTCCGCGTGGCAAGGTTGAAGAAACACACCGTCTCGGGGGAGAAGAACGGAGCAACAGCACACTGACGGGCAGACGGGCTCGCAACGGCAGCGTGCCACTGATATGCTTTGTCGCTCCCGAAGAAAGCTCACCGTAAGGCACCCCAAAGAACTCCCCGTAAGGCTCCCAAGCCTCGTCCGGCAAGGCAGTCCGTCGGGCTACAAAGCCTCGTCCAGGCGGCCACTCCGAATAGGGCTCGCTGCGGGGTTCCGCCAAAAAATTCCCGTCGGGCTACTCCGTGAGGCTCCCCGTGCGACTTCCCGTCGGGCTCGCAGGGAAGCCCCCCGCAAGGCTCCCAGAGAACCCCCCGCACAGGGTTCCCCGTGAAGCTTCCCGCGAGGCATGCCTGGGGGGGGGAGGGAGGAGGAGGAGAAGGAGGAGGAGGAGGAGGAGGAGGAGGAGAAGGCGGTGGAGGAGGGGGAGGAGGAGAAGGAGGAGGGGGAGGAGGAGGAGGAGGTCTCATCGTGAGGCATCCCGTCGTGCTCCGAGGCCTGGCTCTTCGGGCGCCCACAGGGCTCCCTGTGCGAGTCCCCGCAGTGCTCCCCGAGCAGACCCTCGCGGCCCCCGCCCAAACTCGCCCTCGGGGCGCCCCGCGGGGCCCGCCGTGGGGTTATCCTGGGAGGAGGAGGAGGAGGAGGAGGAGGAGGAGGAGGAGGAGAGGAGGAAGAGGAGGAGGAGGAGGAGGAGGGGGAGGAGGAGGAGGAGGAGGAGGGGGGGGAGGAGGAGGAGGAGGAGGAGGAGGAGGAGGAGGAGGAGGAGGAGGAGGAGGAAGGAGGAGGAGGAGGAGGAGGAGAAGGAGGAGGAGGAGAGGAGGAGAGAGGAGGAGGAGGAAGGAGGAGGGGGGGAGGAGGAGGAGGAGGGGGAGGAGGAGGAGGAGGAGGGGGAGGAGGAGGAGGAGGAGGAGGAGGAGGAGGAGGAGAGGAGGTGGAGGAGGAGGAGTGAGGAGGAGGAGGAGGAGGAGGAGGAGGAGGAGGAGGAGGAGGAGGAGGAGGAGGAGGAGGAGGAGGAGGAGGAGGGGGGAGAGGATAAGAGGGATGGGGAGGAAAATGGGTAAGCGGAGGAGGAGGAGGACGACGAAGAAGGACCAGGAGAAACAGAAGGGGGGAAGGAGGAGCGACCCTACCCCATGACATGTCCAAGTCCACACGTGAGGCTCCCGCAGAACTCCCCACGGAGCACCCCTACAGGGGCCTCGCCTCTCCTCTCCTCCTGCCTCTGATCCTGATCGCGCTTGCACTCCCTGCGCTAGGCACTTGGGAAGCAAGGTGCCGCATTTGCCATCGCTCGGACGTCCATTCCCCGTGCATGTTTCGGTATTGTGCGTGGTTGTTGTTGCTCGGATGCTCCTCGATGGTCCTCGCCCAGAAAATATGCACTCGACCAATCGGTGCCAAGTGCATGTAAGCATAGCAAGGGCTACATGTATTGGATCGTGGGCAGGCGGATTCATATGTCATCGAAGCGCAGTTTGCCGTCCGAACTCGGGCCGAAGCCTAGTCCTCAAGCCCCCCAGTCGTGTCTCGAGTATTCCCGCATGGCTCTCACATTCGTCCAATGGGCTCCGAAACCTGGTCCCCAGAGCGCCGCGTGGGGCTCCCCGTATGACTCCCCGACAAAGTGGCACGCAGGACTCCGAAGCCTCGCCCGCAATGGCTCCCACACGTTCACCCTGGGGCCCCGTCTCTCTGCATGGGGCTTCCCGTGGGGCTCCCCAGAAGGCTTCCCAGACCGCTCGCCGTGCAGTCAACCCGTAGGGCATTGGAAGGCCATGCCGACACTTTGCGGGCGGGGCGCGGCCAGCGGAAGCGGCCAAGAATAGGCCGAAGGGGAAGGGGGTAACCCTGGACAATTGCTCCTGCTTACTATGCGGGTTGACCGTGAGACCCTCCAGAAGACTCGCCAGTAAGCTCCCCACAGATCATCGCATATAGCTCCAGTGCCTCGTCCGAACGGCGCCGCGCGAAGCTCTCCAAAGGCTCCCACCAAGTGCTCCCCGAAGACCTCCTCAGCCTCGGTCAACGAGCTCCCAAAGCCAGCCTACCGTGTAGGCGTTCCAGAGACGTCCCCGCAGGGCCCCCTCCCCAGACGGCACCCCAAAGGCTCCGAAGCCTGGTCCAACAGGCCCCCAAGCCCAGTCCATGGGGCTCCCCGTAGGGGCCTCTACAGGGCTTCACGAGCCCTCCCCGCTGCTGTCCGCACCAGGCTCGCCTATACCCCACAAGGCGTTCCAGAAGGCCCCGAGGCCTGGGCCGTTGGAACCCATCAAGCCTTGCCCACGGGGACTCGACCAAGCTTGTCCAAAGGGCTCCCACACATCGTCCGCCCCGTATGGCTCCCCTGTAGAGCTCCCCGGGAGGCTTCCCATAGGGCTCCCCACCATGGCTCCGAAGCCTTGCGCACAAGGCCCCCGGACCTGGTCCGCGGGGCTCCTCGCAGGCGTCGGGCTCACGGGGGGCTCACCCGAGCCTCACTGGAAGGCCCCCCGTGGAGCTCCAAGAGGCTCCCCGCAGGCCAACCGCCAGCAGCGCAACAACACTGGCACGACCACCAACGCAGTCGACAGCGCAAGAAGCGAAGCGGTCCGCAAACGCGACGAGGAACGGCCAACATGCGACGGCGGAGCGGGCGGGCGCCACGAGACACCCGATCGGAATCGGAGATGCGGCGAGGGAACGCGGACGTGCGACCCCGAAGGAAGCATGCGACGCCGAAAGGAGTGCAAAGGCCGCGGCGCCGATTGTGCTAT